ATTGTGTGGATCATGACAAGCTATGGACAACATTGCGAAGTATGAGTATTCTGGAACACTTAATTGTGCTCATGAGGAATCTGTACCTGGACCTAGAGGCAGTTGTTCAAACAGAACATAGGAACACTGAATGGTTTAAAATTAAGCATGGTTTGCGACAACGTTATATTCTTTCACCATACTTATTCAAGCTGTATGCTGAGCAAATAATCCAAGAAGCTGGGTTATATGAAGAAAAACGTGGCATCAGGATTGGTGAAGACTCAACAACCTGCGATATGCAGATAATACAACCTTGCTTGCTGAAAGTTAAGGGAACTGAGAACATTTACTGATGAAGATCAAAGAGCACAGCCTTCGGTATGGATTACATCTCAGTGTAAAGAAAACAAAAATCCTCACCACTGAACCAATACACAACATTCTTATCAATGAAGAAAAGATTGAATTTGTCAAGGACTTCATTTTTCTTGGATCAACTATCAACCCTCACAGAAACAGCAGTCAAGAAATTAAATGACGTATTGCATTAGGCAAATCTGCTGCATGAGATCTTTTTAAAGTGTTGAAGATCAAAGATGTCAGCTTGAGGACTAAGATGCTCCTGACCCAAGCCATGGTATTTTTAATAACTTCATATGCATGCGAAAGCTGGACAGTAAATAAGGAAGACCATAGAAGAATTGATGCTTTTGAGTTATGGTGTTGGAGGAGAATGCTGAAAGTGCCATGGGCTGTCCAAAGAACCAATACATCCATTTTGGAAGAAGTGCAGCCAGTGTGCTCCTTAGAGGCCAAGTTGGCCAAACTTGGTCTCTCATACTTCGGACATATTGTCAGGAGTGACCAGTCACTGGAGAAGTATATCATGTTTGGTAAGGTGGAGGGTCAGAGAAAAAGAGGAAGACACCCAACGAGATGGATTGGCCAAGTGGCAGCATTGATGGACGCAAGTGTGGCAACCGTAGTGAGGTTGGCCCAGGATTGGGCAGTGTTTTTTTCTGCTGTGCATAAGATTGCTATGAGTTGGTATGGACTCAGTGGCACCTAACAACAACAACAAAAGATAAAAGAAGTCCCTATGAGTTGGAACCTACTCATTGGCACTTAACAACAAGAAGGATAAATGTGAATTGTGAATTATATGGGAGATTATTAGTTTTACATTCATCCTATCATATATCGTTTCATTGCCACGTTTACAGTCCCCTCCATGCATCATCAACCAACCTGCAAGCCTGCCCCCCAGTCATCAGCACACAGCCCCTCCCCCTCTCCTTCTTTGGGTCTAGAGTCCCCAGCTGCTCCATTGCTCCACGTCATTGTCTCTGCCTCCATCCCAGTGTTACTGCTTCTCTGGGTAGCGTCCCACACTCTGCTCTTCTCCCTTGATGGTCCCAGGGACCTCCATTTCTGGACTGTAAAGTCAATTATTCCCCTCTTTGTGTTACAAAACGTCTGCCTTTACATTTGCGACCCTCACAGTCAGTCCTGGTAGCAATTATTCACTATTGCACCACAAGAGAACTATCCCCATCTCCTTTCATCAGCCCCGCCCAGACAGATTGGATACTACTCAGTAGAGAGTCTACCTTCCTCTGCACCCTCTGGATCTAGGTTCCCTCTTGAAAGCTTGTAAGCCAATCACTTCTTGCATTTGTAGACCCCTCCCCCCATTTTGGGTAGCCAATGTCCAAGTTGCCCATCCCCGTCTACCCTGTGTATGGAGGAGGTGGGAATGATCTTCACTGTAAAGATTTGTTTCCGTCTTTTGAGTTACTACATCCATAGGTGTAGGTCAAAGTCATCAAATTGTATCACATTACTCTTTTTTTCTTTTTCTTTCTTCTTCTAGTTCAGCTCTGATCATCCAGCCATTGAAGCCAGGTCAAGTGGGTATTTATTATAAATTAATTTAGTTTTAAAGGGAAGACTGACAGGTGACACTGATTAGGATCGTCAGCATTTTTCGTCAGCCTATTTTAAGTAGCTCTGGTAGCATAGTGGTTAGGAATTGGGCTGCGAACTGCAAGGTCAGCAGTTCAAAACTACCAGCTGCTCCGCGGGAGAAAGATGAGGCTTTCTGCTCCCATAAAGATTTACAGCCTCGGAAACCCTATACAGGGTCACTGTGAGTCGGAACCAATTCCATGGCACATAACCACCACCATTTTAATGGAACATTTGATTGCAACAGTGCCATTTTTCTAACATAAAGCCAAACAAATCATTAAAGAGTCAGAAGGAAGATTGAAGGAGTTTATGGAGAACTGCAGTATTAAGCGTGGAGTATTGACCATATTCACAGCCTAGGCTGCTGAATTGTGCAGGTGCGCCTTCAACCTCCTAAGTTAATGGACCATATTTTCTCATCTCAAAGATGTATTATTGCTTTTTCACTTAATAATATTTTTAAGTCACAATACATCTAAAACTATATTAATATTGTACGTGTGTGTGTTTTAAGAACACTTCTCTAAGTTTTTTATAATCTAATAGTTTGTGTTCACATTATAAATAATTTCATTTGCACTAACTTTTAGGAGTCACAATATGAGTTAAACTGGGGAATCCAAAGTCCACTGCCATTGAGTCAATTCCAACTCATGGCAACCCGTAGGACAGAGTAGAACTGCTCCAAAGGGTTTCTGAGGATGTTGATCTTTATGGAAGCAGACTGCCTCAGCTTTCTCCCACTAAGTGGATAGTTGGTTTGAGCCACCAACCTTCCAGTTAGCAGCCCAACACTTAACCTACTATGTCACCAGGGCCTATTGGAGGGAAAGTAGGTGCTTTTTCAACATCATATATCAAAATGAAAAGAAGGTGAATCACATTTATTATGTATTTGTCTGTATTAACTGATATCCATTATCTCAGTTAGTTGATCCTAACACCTATACTTCATGGTAATTGTTGTTTTTAAGTGCCATCAAGCAGCTTCCGACTCATAGTGACCCTTTTAGGGTTCCCAGAGAGTGACTGGTGAGTTTGAACTGCTGACCTTGTGGGTTGAACTGACATTGCAGTCCTGTGCTTATCCTACAAAGCCACACCAGGACTCCACAAGAGAATTAATCACCAGCATTATGACTATGTTGTTGTTGTTGTTAAGTGCCGTCGAGTCGGTTCCGACCCATAGCGACCCTGTACAGGGTTTCCGAGGGTGTAAATCTTTACGGGAGTAGAATAAATGGTAAAATTAAGGCCTAAAGAATTTAGCTGACTTGAATTTGTACCTTATGTGAATTCCAAGCTCTTCCTACTTACCACACTGACTCATTGAAACAACCTAGTATAAAATAAGCATCTTAAAATTGTCTTCATAGACAAAACAATGTTGTTGTTGTTGTTGTTAAGTACCATAGCAACCTTGTATAGGGTTTCCAAGGAATGGCTGGTAAGCTTGAACCATCAACCTTGTGGTTCAAACTGACTTTGCAGTCCAGCTCATTAGCCCACAGTGCCACACCAGGACTCCAGACAAAACAATAATAGATATGAAATCACTAAAGAGTGTTTTGATTGAGTCATGGGTTTGAAGGTAGATATAGCTAAGAAGTACTTGTTTAGATTTACTAATAAAAAAAGCAAAGCATCTGCCTTCCTCCCCTTCTGATAAGATTAACCTAATATTAATTAATTAACCTAATCTTATCTTCAGATTAAAGATTTTAAAAAGCTTAAAAGCAAAGGTAAAAAGTCATTCCCTTCAGACAAGAGAATATCATGTCACACAGTCTCTACCTCAAATGTTCTCAGTAAAAGATAAATTGGAAAATAATATTCGGAGGAAACAGAAGTATTTTATTTAGTTTGTTCCAATAACCATTTACTGAAAATGTGACTATCGCCAAAGCATCATTCTCAAATGATAGCCGAAGCTTGTATGATACTTGGCCTGCTGTTCAATCATCATTTAAATTATAACTTTTTTTTTTAATTCAGGAGGAACTTTTCTTGTCTTCTTATATTGTCCATACTTATTCAAAGATCCTTTGAACATATACCTTCTATGTTTCAGACACTGTTGTAGATGTTAGATATTCTAAATTTTGTTTAATAGATTTATTTTCTCCATTAATGACTAATAGGCAATATTATCTAAAAAGAATAATTTGTGGTGTTTTTTGGTTTTGTAGCTGCTAAATCCAGAAGATGACCTCTTACCAGGAAAGATTCGAGATAGTAATCGGTCAACCCTTCTAGCAACAATTCAGGAACATGGTTACCCTACAATCAACTTGGGAATTGTGGGAGACAAGTAAGTATTGGATTTATTTTGGAAAAGTTCTTACTGTGTAAATATGAATTTGTGAATGTTAGCTATGTTGAGTTGCTGCTAATGGGACATAAACATAATACCATAATTTTTACTTAATCCCATTCTTCAAAAGTCAGAGAATGGTACAAGTGTCAATGTCCTTTAGGAATTCTCTTGGAATTCCATTTACAACAGGAGAAATAGTTTGCTTGTCTATGTGTATGTTCAGTCTTCAGGGATTCTCTTTTGGTTGTATTGGTTTTATCCTAGTGGAATTAATGGTGTTATGCATAGTCACACCTTTACTTGTTTCAACTAAGACAGGAAATAATTGAGTGAGCAGAGTTAGAGAGAAGGTCAAAATTAGCACTGCTTGATTATTTGAAGTTTAAGTACAATTGTTTTCCAAGACTTTAATGTTGCATTTCTTACACTTGTGTTAGATAAGTTTCTACAGCCTTCATCCACCTTTTTTTTTTTTTTTTCAAGTTTTTATTGTGAATTGAGTGATAGATTACATGGGAGAACATCAGCTTTGCATTCATCCTATCGTATTTTGTTTCATTGTACTGACTACTAGCCCCTCCATGCATCATCATTCAACAGCATTTGCTTCCATTCCCTCTGGGGGTTTTTTTGTTTGTTTGTTTTAATTTTGGATGTACACTGAAGCACTCAGAAATATATAACCATTTAAACAACCAAAGGGCATACC